GTTAACTTAAAAACTAAAATGACATATAAATAAAGGGAATGGGAATTGAAAATGAATGCCTAATGACAAGAAGTCTGAAAACATCTTAAACCCTTTCATTCCTGTAGACTAAAACCATAATGGACCCATCCATATCAATGCATGGTAGAGTCTAGATCTACTTACACTGTAAGCTACAAATTAAAGGGTTGAAAGAGTTAAACTTTTCAGATATTTTTTGGATTTTTTTTTTTAAATTTATGTTAACTACTTATCATTATTAAGCTTTTTAAGTAAACAGATATATATATATATATATACCATATGGTTTTGAAATTAACTCATTCACCCTTGAAAACACATTTGAACTCTTCCAATTCAAAGATTGGAATAGTTCATTATGAAATTTCAGGGGTGAATGAGTTAAGATCATCAGGAGTAATTCACACGTGTGCCAGAGACAGTAATCGTTTTAAAGGATATTTATACATAATTCACAGCTTGGTGAACATTTAACATTTTGCAAGTAAATATGATAATGTCAATATTTAAGTAATTTTGGAAAATCGCACCAAAATGTTATGTAAACATGTCACAGATAATAGATTCTCATTTATATTATCTAAAATGTCAAACTGTCATAAAATGAAATATTGTCCTGACTTTTACAGGGATTATGGACAAAAACATCACAGCATTGGTTTATAGATGCAACCTCAGTGATTGCATTTCTTTATTTTTTTTATTAAAGTGATAAAGATCCATAGAAAAAATATCTGTTCCTTCATTTTGAATTAATTTCATTACCAGAAAATCTTAATTTAAAGCAATATGATATTAAGTTATTTATTACCAGAATATTTTGAACTTAAGGCAATATGATACCCTACAAATTATGCCTGTGATATGAATTGTCTCCCTTTAATATATAAAGATACCATTAACTAAGAATTAAAGGAACATTACCAATACATCGATCCTTGTGTAACTTTCAATGAATCATCAAGAAATAAGTTTTTCTTCAAAGAAATTTTCAAGATATAAGCCCTTATAATTCTTTAACATGGATAAATTTACTCCACATTGATTAAATTCTATTGTAAAATATAAAAGGAAATCCCGTTAAATTGTTTACACATGGGCCGAGTCGCACACAAGCAGCATATACATTTGCAATTATATATATATATATATATATATATACATCTTATAGAAAAACTGTAAATAAATTTTAAAATTTCATCAAACATGATATAAATTCAACGATCTACAAAGGGAGGTACAGGTAATCTGATGACACCTGCAAATATTATACAATGATCAATGAAGTTGACACATATATATACATGTACACCAATAACAAAAAAAATGTTTTTTCTTTAAATGTATAATGCTTGTAAAACACATTTCTGTGCGACTATAACACTTAACATGGCGATAAATTTTCTCATATGAAAAAGACTTCATGTTCAATTATTTAAATACATATATGTAATAAAAAGACACATTTCTAAAGCATTAACATATTTTTCACATTTTAATCTTGTAGGTCCTGATGCATGAGAATAATAATGACCATTTTTTCCAGCTCAGTGTTGGTGTAGATGCCAGCCATTTACATATTTAATTCAAGTTCAGGTTATTACAAATAAGGTGTGCTTCAAATCAGAACAACTTTCTTTCAGCAGGACGTACAAATAATAACCCCAGGTTTTCTGTGCAAGCAAACTTTGCTGAAGAATTAAATACTTGAGGACATATACATGTATTCACAGATAGCACAAAAATTAATAGCAAAGACTTAAGGATTCCTATCCCACTTCACTGTGTATTTTCCTATATACAATAACCTCCCCTTAACTTCCATTTGGATATATAGCTGTAGCATATATAGTTGGACTAATACACTTTCGTTGACCAGCAAGCTAGCTGAGCTCAAACGGTTTGAGAGATCTAGATAGTATTATGATCTGAAGTCCAGGGTTCGAATGACAGTCCGCCACCGATCTTTTTTACACTCAGAACACTGATGTTGATTATATTTTGCTGATTTCATATTTATCATTTATCATTAACTCATCAATCCCTGAAGACACATTAGATCTCTTCCAATTCAAAGGTTGGAATAGTTCATTATGAAAATTTCAGGGGTGAATGAGTGAAAAGTTCTGTCTGCAGGTGTGGTTTTCTTTTCAAAAATAATTTATCATCTATCTATAACTATAAGGAATAATCAGCACTAATTGGTATTCGTTTATGTTATTTAATGTTAATATCCATCAATATGTATATGTAATGATCAGGCAGCTGTTAGTATATATACAAACAAACTGGTTCAAAGGTCAATGTTAATTACAGACATATTATATACAAACTTTATTCAAATTCTAAACCTTTCGCGAGTGAGGGCCATATGCAAAACTATCATAAAAAGGTCATCTTCGGAAAGTAGCATTATTTTCATTGAGGGAATTAATTATTACTTTAAAAATATTAGATCTGCGTGCCTACCAGGAACTTTACTTTATATCTTCCAAAGCTGTTATGGGAAACAGTTATTTTTTTTATATATGTAGCTGATCTACACATTATTTATTTTGGTAGAGAGCATTCACACCAAAATAAAATACCTCTCTCTTTTTCATAGTATTTCTGAGATAACCCAGATATATTGGAGAGATAATGGGTACATGGGGATGTAACCCGGTTGAACTGTTGGCAGCTCACAGCCAGTTGGAGGCTGTGGACAGTATCAGACATGTTCAGGTGATCAGGATATAACATTCCAGAACCAGACACACTACTCCAGCCTCTGTAACATCCTCCTCAGTGGGCAGAGATAAGAAGGCCAATAAACCGCACCTCATCATCTCCCGATCAGGGAGTAATCTCTTCTGCAGAGACATTAGTAGGACTACCTGCAAGGTATCCTGGATGTTGTTCAATCTGATTTAAAAGTAATTATTTCTCACACCTCATCCTCAATCTGAAGCACTTCCACGTTCCATTTTTCGTATCCAAATATTTTATCAAGATGCTGGCAAATATCTGTCAGGGCTGTAAAATTGTACTAGCCACACGCCCTGAACTTGAAGATTTTTAAGTTTTAAGCCTTTGTACCCAGAACGGCGTTGTCATGCATGGTCATCTTAACCTATTGATTACTCTACTTTTTACGGCCGGACTCATGTATTCCCTGTGCCAGGAATCCGTCCTCTGGGTATACGTAAGACAGAACTTCGCTGAACTCTTTGCACGGACGTTGGATCTCCTATTCCCCGTATTTGAGATTTGATGGGCTAGTGAAAATTTCAGTATTTATACTGAAAAGGTATATATATATATATTGGGCCGGTCTTATTTGTCAAAATCGGGCCATTACTGTAAATAATTCCATTTATTATAATTCAATTCATGCCCTTTTAAGGTGTGTTTAAAATTTATGTAAATACAGGTAAATCCAATATCATAATTTATTAGAATTCATTTTACGCCCTTTTAAGGCGTGTTTAAAATTTACGTAAATACAGGTAAATCCAATATTAAGTGCTCCAGCTGTTTAGCTGAATACATGTTTACAAAATATATCCATTAAACGAAAAAAAAACACATTAAATTATATATATTTATATAGAATACATGCATGCCTTTTTCCATATATCACACCCAGTATCAACCCGAGACTGTAATATCAGCTCAAGGGACGAAGGCCCGAGGGCTCATATTGGTCGAGGGACTTGATACTGGGTGTGATATGGAAAAGGCATGTTTTATTCTGTTTATTATATACTTACTAATAAAAACTATCTTATGATTTATTTTTATTTTTGAAATATTGAAAAATGATTTTTTTTCCAAAAGGGGTGTGATATGGGTTTTTGCGGACTCATCAGGTTTTGGGGTGTGATACGGCGGGGGCTGATACAGGTTTTGGGGTGTGATACGGCGAGGGCTGATATGGGTTAGAGCAATTGTATCGTATCGCATATACAAAAAACCCGTATTTATTAGTAAGTATGTAATAAATAATGTTAAGTGCTCCAGCTGTTAAGCTGAATACATGTTTACAAAATATATCCATTAAACAAAAAAAATAACACATTAAATTATATATATATATAAAAATATGTCCCTAGTAACTCAATCACCCCTGAAATTTCATAATGAACTATTCCAATCTTTGAATTGGAAGAGTTCATAGGTGTCTTCAGGGGTGAATAAAGCAAGTTTACAACAGTCTCTTGTTGAGAAATATTCCAATGTGCATCATCATCATGACAATGAGACACTCCAATTCATTCATTCTGAACATATATTTTGACTATTTTCCCAGCAATTAACTTTTGGAACGAACAAATAAACTTGTTATCAAAGTATGGGAGTGGACCTGTTATGAAATGCTCTGAGGGACGATAAAATAGCATTTGTTGCCATTTCTACTGAACTGCAATAGATAAAGTTGGTTTATTAATTACCAGGTATGGGATAAACATATACTACATGTCGACAGTGATTAAGGAAGGTTTTAATTTATGGACCATGACCTATTTTTTATTACTTTAACATTTTCTAGGAAAAAAAATGTAATTTAATACACAGTGCTATATATACATGTACACTATGAATGTGATAGCTATTGAAATCTAAAAAACAAATTCTGGGAAAAACCAATTGTATGGTCACAATTTCCTAATCACTGCCTGGGATCAATCTAGGCTCGATTCACTACCGTTTATGCGTAACGTATACTTAGTTTTCCCTACACACCCATGATGTCACAATGTGTGAATGCTAGGGAATTTGTTTCACTTGTGTATTGCCTTGTTTGTATATAAAATAAAAGATCACCTAAAGGACACGTTGTATGTCGGACAAAACATTTATCTTTTACCTTCATGGCGCTAGAGCCTTGTATCAAAATTTTTAATTTCCCCCAAATCTGAAAAAGGGTAGATTCCCCTAAAACCTAGATTGATCCCCGATTGTTACCGAACAGTTTACCTAGCCTTACTTCTACATACCGCCATTGGTGTGGCTCGATGGTGGTAGTTGCACTGTGCCGTTTGTGGATTCATACTGGTTTAACATCTTCAGAAAATCATCACTAATTCTCGATTCCATGACGGCTTGACCTGTATAGGAAACACAGACAAAACTCTGAAATAGCATTTTAACAATGCATATATTTGCTGTATATAATATATATATATTTATATATTCAAGACTAGTACTCTGTAGAGTAATTTGGGAATCACCATCTTGTCGGCATTGGGGAAAACACTTTGCAGCATTTTTGTTATCTCAGTAAAAAAATCAAAAGGCATGATATTGATAATGTCCGTAACTTAATTATATCTACAACACAGCCCAAATTTCAAACAGAAGAATTACTTTGTCGGGCAATTATACAGGTCGAGAGTGTGCAAGTCTGATATACAGAAAACCAATTGTCTTCCTTCAAGGTCCTTGTATACACCTGCTTAAGTAAAGTTGAGTGGTGTAACAATTTTGACCCCTGTGACGTTATACATGGATCAAGGTCATTTTGCTAAAACAAATTCTGTAGCAATCCTGGGCAGCAATTGACAAACTATCATGACTCCAGGTATTTCAGATGTTTGGAAAAGTAGGACAAATTTGACTTCTGTGACCTTGGATATGGGTCAAGGTCATTTCTTTTTGTGAACTTTGTAGCAGCCCATCCACCCAGGTACACTGTAATGGCAAAAATGTTATGACTCTAGGCCTTTCTGTTTTTCAGATGAGGTCATTTAAGCCTTTCAACAAATTTGACCCCTCTTGATCTGACTTAACTTAATTAATCACCCCTAAAGACACATTTGAACTCTTCCAATTCAAAGGTTGGAAAAGTTCATTATGAGATTTCAGGGATGAATGAGTGAAAAGACATTTGAACAATTCTAACATTACACAATGTCACCCAACACACCCTCTGGTGAGCCTTTTTTATAATTTACTGACACATTTATTTTCGAAAAGTTTAGAACATGTACTCACTCATGATCACGATAATGATATAATGGGTTTCAAAATAATCAAACTGCAGGTTTATTCCAAGAATGTTTGTTTCAATGTCACCCAAATGTTACTCATTTTTGCCCCGTAAAGAAGTCAGTACTTTTCTTTTACAAATCTATCAATCTTTTGTAGCTCTTGTTCTTGAAAAGATGCAATTCAAAGAAAAAGTTCAAAAAAGAATTGAAATGGAAAATATTGGAAGTCAATTTGGTTTGGTTGTTTTACGCCCCAAAAACAGCTTTGTTCATTTAAGGATGTGCTAGGTTTTGGTGGGGGAGGAAAGCTGGTTTTCCCGGGGAAAAAGACACTGACCTACAGCCATGCCAGTATCTGGCGACAGCCCCACGTACATAGGTATCAAACCTGCGACCCAGTGGTGGAGTCCGGCTATAGTGGTAGCAGAATTTCAGACGCCTTAACCACTTGGAAACCGAGGCCCCTTATTTAGCTTGCAAGTCAACACAAACTATGTCAGGCTAATTTTAATATTCATATAATGTACCTGGTATGTACAAGTTGAGTTGAGTTGAAGAATAAATTCTTCATTCATTAATATTTCTTTTTACTCATAACTTACAACTGACATAATTCAGTATAAACACATGTACATACATGTAAATATAATGCAATGTTAATTGGGGTATTAATTGTTTGAACTTGTTTCATTAATCAACTAATTACATGTATATGCCATCCATCCAATTTTGATATTTGAAAATCATTCGCTTCACTGGTAGTTATATATATTCAAAACTATTCTATACTAGACACGAATACTTTAACACATATTTTATCTTCTGACAATATGCAACTTACACTTGACTCGTGCTTATATATAAAAACAGTCACTTGAACTGAGGAGTGTGGGCCTGGCTTCTGTTTAAGTTTATATATAATGTTCACTATTGCAGTTTCTTTGTATATTTGTTGTTTCATTATTTGCCTTCAAGTTATTTTACTAGGTAATTACAAATGAGCAATAAAATTATTGAATTGAATTGAATATATATACAGAATGTAATCATTGATAATTATCACAAACAAAGCCAAAATTGTTAAACTTTTATAATTAATGCTCAAATATCAGGTGGTCATGGTGGCAGAATGATGTCCAGAGAAAAAAATGTAAAGGGAGAGTACATGTGCACATGTATTACAGCAATATTTTTCCAATTAACAGTTGTAGAAAAATGTTGAATAACATAGATGTATACATATATACCATGCTATTATTTTAAAACCCCTTAATGCACTGGTACATTGTGAACTGGTATTATAAAGACAGCATAAATAGTGTATGTTTATAAATAATGAAGTTATTATATTGCTGTCATTTACTATTTAATTTTTTAAACCTTCACATTCACAGAAGTAAATTGACGGCACAATTTAAACAGGTGCAGGTACACACATGTATCCGAGGCCTTTTAGAATCCTTATTTCGTCCTGTTCACATCGTTTCATCATCCCTTCTAAAGGTTGTTTCATGATATAATGAACTGGGGTTTTCCTGAATAGGAATCATGTATATATCCATATACTCATTTAAAGCTAATGTCCAACTTATTAACTCATTCACCCCTACATTTTTAAACTGAACTTGTCCAGTCTTTGATTTGGTAAAGTTTAAATGTGACTTTAGGGGTAAATGCGTTAAAAGCTTTTATTCAAGGCTATAGAAATTGATAATTTTATGTCTGTCAGCTGGGATAGTGATTTATTTTTATTTCGACATATTTGATTTTACTTATATATAAATAAATATTTCCTAACTTTTCGACACTTTATAAATTTTTACTGATTTAACAGGGTTAGACATGACAACATTTTTGCTTGATAGTCCACAGGACTAGTTGAGCAGATTATTTGCTATATGTCAACGTAATTAACTAGTCTATAATTTCCCTAGGAAACATCTCAAGGAAGAAACATAAAACGTATATATACGTAATTGACTGTAGAACAGCTAGGCTACGGGACATAAAATAACTACTGCCGAAAGACATGATGGAATTTATTAGTCACAGAGTAGATGACTTTTGTTAGTGTCGAAACTCGAAACCTTATTACGTATATATTTTCACAAAATCTTTTATTTTATTTATTATGAAAATATAGGTCAAGCTTTGACAAACACTCAAAACTTTGTTCAAAATCTGTCTTTGGGCTAGTCAGAGACATATATACTATATGGCTTTATATTTCACTGGGCTAGTACATTTGATAAAACAAACTTTTAATTTGAATATGGAATTGTATATATCCTGGCCTGATGTCGTGTTTTCACGGACACTTACAGTTAAACTTAAGATTTATAGCATTTTTTTTTAGGCTAATAATGTACCTATGGTATTTCTATAGGAGATCTTTCTATATAGGGGAAAAAAATGGGGGGCGGGGGGGTCTGCTTTAAATACATGTTTGTACTTACACTACATTTGGATTTTTGGGACTGACCCTTACCTTTTATTGTCTTGAAAAAGGTGCATTTTGGATAATTAGCACAGAGTTTTTTTAGCCATTCCTTTTCCATACCTTTCAGTTTCAGATAAATCATTTTAATATCTTACGATAGGTATTTGCTGTATAATATACCTAAACAGTAAACGCCATAAGTTTTATGCAACAACGCTATGGCTAATTGTTAAATAACCCCTACAATAATGTCAGGTCAATTTTCTGAACCAAGGGATTATAAGCTTATTTACCAGTTACCTGCGATACTGAATTAATGGAAAATTTATGTTGCTTGTTATTAAAATTTAATATAATTAAAGCACAAAAATTTGCAGCAAAGTTTATGGTAGGTCATTATCAGAGAAATTATACTGAGCATTCATATCGGCTTTGATTATAACGTCTTGATTGAGAAATTCAACCTTGCAGGTACTAATGTTGTTGCATAAGCCATACACCCTTAATGTTATAATATTAACTTGAAATCCAGGCAGATTGTGTACATTGTTTATATATATGCAATATGGCACTTAATAATATCGTATTTATTCATTTTTTACACAGTAAATGTTGCTTTAAATCAATTTAAGGCACTGACAACAGATGTCACATTTCAATATTACACTGTCACCTTCGAAAACAAAATGTAAACATTCGATCACACATTGTTTACGAGAGAGACTACGGTAATATAATGTCTGGGTCACATCGTCCAAATCACATGAAGTAACGGTGACCGCGTGACTTGAGCACATATAATGAACTGTGCCCCCGTCGACACTGCATCATATCGGCAACAATGACAATCACACATTGAATCAAATAAGACAGCTTCTTCGAAAGAGACAGGTATGTGGAACTAGAATTCAACAAAGCGAATGGCGAACTGCCAATACACGAATACAGCTAAATGGGCGCCATATTGGTTTTAGTATTCTGTACATACCTTGTTTTATGAATTTTAACACTTTTTCTCTCGTTTCTGGTAAGACAGTTTCTTGTTGTGAATCAGATGGCATAACTTATGATGTTTTCAATTCAATTTGTAAATACCACGGCTGAAAAAGGATGTCGAATGTTCTTTTTACTTGACAACAGTTGTCGCAATCCCATTTCCGAACAACCCGTACTAGCTTCTGAATACATTAACCATTCTTTTGTGGGATACGGCCCAGTCCTCCATTTTGATTGGTTCTTTACAAACAATGTCATTACGCACTTGCCCCATTTATTGACCAATCAGCGCCCAGACACTTTAATACATTGGTGAAGGTCGCTGCAATCTATGAATAACTCGGAAACGAAAGTTGCAATACACAAGATCCTGGCTGGGGCTTAAGAGTGTACAGTTAACGAGCATGTGAGACCAATCTAATGAATGAGCACATATTTTTGATATGATTCGAGATTATTTTTACACTGTTGACGTGTTGTTTTAGATAATTGATCAATAACAGTAGATATATCTTGTGAACTCCTGGGATTTACGTTCACATTGATGATGTTACATGTATTTATATAGAGTCTAACTAGTACTAAATTTTAACGTTCAATTCACGCATACGTGTGTTAAAATATAGGCTATGGATCGGATTTTATTTATACGGAACTTCGTTAGTAATTAACACAAAATGCGGTTGATGATATTGCACTTTTTATTTTAACCACGGGCTTAGATAGCAATCTAATCTAATTCCGTGTGTTAACTAACAATACATGTTTGCCTCTTCAATTGTGTATGTTTTTAGTATATCATAAATTTCCGAACCTTTTTGAAATTATTTTGCGCGGCTGATTTAGTTTTTTTTTTAAATAAGTGATGTAGAACTATTTTTCTAGAATATATCGAGTCCAGTTCAGCTTATAATTAAAGCATATATAATATACAAATTTAAGTAGCTCCAGTAAGCTACTGAAGATTTGCTTTGAATGTTATGATGTTGTTTATTTATTTTTCCGTCTTCTTTTTTTTCTCTTCTTTTTTTTTTTCTTTTTTCTTCTTTTCTTTCTTTCTTTCAAATAAGGGTAGAATAGCAAAAGTTACACAACAAAAATAGGCCTAGTTTCAAATGAACAAAAAAAGGAAGTAATAACATGACAATATACCCAGGAACTTTATATAATGAAAATACAAATCGAACCGGGCAGATAGATAATTTTAGTATACCGACCAAAAGTCTTACGGGGAAATATAAGATACATTCAATCATCCCACAAGGCCCTACTAGCGCGACAAATTTTCTTAAGAATCAAGACAGTAGGTTTATTGTTTATTTAATGAAAATAAAACTTAATCTCTACTGTTCAAAAGTTCCGTCTACTAAATCAAATGTCATTTTTCGTCATAACAAAAAACCGTATCCATAGGCTATTTTCAATACACGTTTAACGTATATTGAACGTTAAAATTATCAAAAAAAGTCAAGTTCTGAATGTAGAACCTAGAACAAAAAGACAAATAACTTTAATAAAATAACTTTAATAAAATAACTTTAATAAAACATGTTTAAAGTATTTCAGAAAAACCCGGAGATCTGATAAAAAGCCGTGAGCTATAGACATTAAAGTTCTTATCGATATTTTTTTAGAAATATTTTATTTCTATTATTTAATTCAAGTAGGTACCTGTTATCAAATTACATAAACATTTCTGCATTTTGTCTACTTTCTTGTCGACAAAACCATGTAAATCATGTAAATACATACACTTAAATAAATTGTAAGGAAATGGCGTTTATAACGTCCTTGAAACTGGCCCAATCCTTTTGCTTTTAATGTGACAATAAAATATGTTTAAACTAAACTAAGACTTTTAATAAATTAATAATTTCCAGACAAATCCATTTTTTTCAATTCGTTGTTCATGCAGTACAAAATGTTTTAAATCTCTTTTCAATCCATCAGATTGTAAAACCAGCATTTGTTGGCAAAAAAAAATGCCCAGGGGTTTGATTGTCGATTGCGTTCATTTTGTGAAGTGGTAATCAACTTGTTGAATCCAGATATATTAAATATTGAATATCTTTAAACTAATAGCTATTTATAAAAAAAAAAGTGTGTTTCAAGAGATTATTGCTATCGTACCTGTTATGGCAAGGGGACTTTCTAAATCCAGTTCCCGCCACAGTTGCTTCTGAGGCGCAGACAGCGCAAGGAACTCGGGTGGGACGTCACTTCCTGTCTTTGGTGGATGATGAGGGCTGGTTGCCATGTGGCGCTGTACGGGGTCCTCTAGGGTACTAGCGGCTGACACAACTGTCTTCATTGTGCCTAGTCGATATAAATGTGTCCTTTTTATTTTACATTGTGTAAATATTAAAAGCCAGCTTTTTTTTATTACGGTAAATTTCAAGAGTTCATTTGACAATTTGTGTTTTTATCTATGTAATTGAAGAGTTTTTATCATTGGCTGCAGCGTTGACATTTTAACCACAGGGACCTGCTAATTTGTTACAGCTATATTTGGACCTAAACTAAGGTGTTCATAGTATTTTTACATGTTTTAGGGGTTTAGATCGACTTTCGGTAAAAATGACACCCTGGGCCCAGTCATATATAGGAGAAGGGAGGAAAGCTCTCGATGTCAAAATGTCGACCCCACCTAACTTTATTGCATCAAAAACAACATTTTTATCTACGGGGAAATGCTTAGTACCGTTGGAAAGATTGATATTTTTTCTTTTCTAAAACACTTTTTGTATGCACGTAAAATGTATTCTCCTTCCGCGGACATGAACTCCCGTTTCCTCCAAAAACACACGCCATTTCAGAGTTTCAAAAGTTTTTCGCAGTCAGCGTGTCACTTTTTAGCGCGTACTGAAACATACGGTGTTGGTTGATTTAGCGAAGAGATGGCTGCACTTCCAGCCAATCACACCACGGGTCTCGGCACGCGGCTGACCTCAACCTCATTAATATTAAAAAAAGTGGCACGCTGACTGCGAAAAACTTTTGAAACTCTGAAATGGCGTGTATTTTTGGAGGAAACGGAGTTCATGTCCGAGGAAGGAGAATACCTTTTACGAACATATACATGTAAGAGGGTTTTTTTAAAGAAAAAATTGTCCATCTTCCAAACGATACTAAGCATTTTCCCGTAGATCAACTAAAAAACTTGTTTTTGATGCAATAAAGTTAGGTGGGGTCGACATTTTGACATCGAGAGCTTTCCTCCCTTCTCCTATATATATATGACTGGGCCCGGGGTGTCATTTTTACCGAAAGTCGATCTAAACCTCTAAAACATGTCAAATGACTCCGAACACCTTAGTTTAGGTTCAAATATATAGCTATAACAAATAATCAGGTCCCTGTGATTTAAACAGCTGAACACGCACAAAATCATTTCGGTCAGTTCTGTACTTTTTTAAATTATTTATCAGTAGATATTTATAAAAAAAAAAAATCACGTTTCATAAAAGTACAAGATAAGAATTTACACACGTCTGTGCTTGCGCTACATCATTGACACATCGGGAATGTTTGTCAGAATAATAAAATAAGATAACGTGTTATTTCCCCCCC